AATTTTAAGAATAAATGGATAAAATGTGTGTGTTGATTTAATGTATTACAAATGTTAATTTTACTGAAGAAATATGTTCTGTACAACTAGTTGCATATTTTATATGTAAAAAGGTATAGATATTTGTGTTATTTTTTCTTTGTAACAGTAAATATCTGTTAAATATCTATATATTGCATATGTTAAATTGTTAAATATCACAGAGGCATCGCCTAAATTAAAAATAGCAACTAATTTCAGTTAAATTTAACATTATAAATGTATCAATTTAACATAAATTTGTTTTTAAATTGTGGCAAAGTATTACGTTTGTGTTAATTTTGTACATAATATTTGTGTTAATTTCCAATATATTCATCTTATGTTAAATTAACACAAAAATTTGAGTGGATCGTTTGAAACATGTGAAATGTGTTAAATTTAACATAAAATTTTTTACTGTATCTTTATGTATTTTTTAGAGCTATTGTTTACAATCACTTAAAATTAAAAAAATTGATTGCTTTGTTGACGTTTTTATTGAGCGAAAACTGATCCTTAAAAAATTCTTAAATAAAAAGTAACTCAATTCTCTGAGATCTAACATATTTGTATGTAATATAAACTCTATTTGTTATCACTAAAAAAAATTCAACAGAAAATTACGTTAGTGCCGATTCAGTTGTTTCTATTGGAGGATTTTCGATATCGTCCAATACATCAGGATCGAGTTCTATCAAATCCTCGTTTTTGTTTCTTATATTATTCCGTTTGTTGGCAACAGGATTATCGTATTCCTCTATATTGAAAATATTTTTAGGAAGTATAAGATCTTTGATGCGCATTATATTGTCTTCAACAACAGCCTCATCTTCGAAGAACGTGTGATTCATTTCTTTTACAGGATTTGCATGTATACTATTTTTAGCTTCTGACAATTCCTGCGTTTCTGATTTGGTAGGATACTTTTTATCATTTATAATATTTAAGTAGCGAGGAAGTATATAAGCATTATAGGCACTAATCACAGGTGTACGGGCAGTTTCAGTACTAGTATACGCTTTGTCTCGAAAGATTAGATCCTCGTTTTGCTCGTCCTGGAAGTATTTATTATTTTCTTCAGAATATAATCCCAATTGTCCCATCTCTTGCGAGTTTTCACGTATAAAATTTAAATCGTCGAATTCTTCATTCACTATTCCTTTCCAGATATTCTGAGGAAATATATGAGGATTAATATTATTTCGTCCAGTTTTGATAGTATTACGTTCAGTTTCGTCTTCAAAATATCCTATATCTTTGTCATTCACGAAGTATTCAGTCTCGTCTTCAAAATATTCTTTCATATCTTTATCATCTTCTTCATTTTCAAAAAGTTTAGTATTTGCTTTCATCAAAGAATCGAACAATGTTTCATCCTTTCTTGATTTCCATGTATTTATATCCTGAGGAAACTTAGAATTATGAGAATTAGAATTGATTTGTTCATTATCGTCTTTAACTATAATTTCTTGCTTTCTTGCAGGATATAGTTCTAAGAAATTATTCCTAAACTGATCTAAATTCGAGGATTGTGAATTCTTAGCGATGTCCCAATTATCAAAGAATTTTTTGGTTGATTTTGAGATATCCGAATCCTTAACATAAGGATCATGTTTAACTTCTGATGGATTAAATCCTACGGGACTATATTTTTCTGGAGAATACCTGAGCTGGCTGGCAGAATTTGAAGATTCCTTGATTGCATCTTTTTGCTCGTCGAGGATATCTTCCCGGCGAATATTTTCAATTTCAGAGAAAGATTTCTCTGACTGCATGACGTTTGAAGAAGTGTCCTCTGAATACTTCCCTGACGACTTTGTATCTCTATCGGCGCGATGCACTTGTACTTTCCTCATAGAATCTTCTTCGTCCTTTTTATAATCTTTCATCTTTTTATAATCTTCTAACAAGGATTCTGAATATTTATTGTGAGGATTTCTGAAAAACCAATTTTCTTCGAAAATTTGTCTCGATGGAACAACACGAGGATATTGTCTCACAGATACGCCTTGAGAAAATATTTCTTGTTTGTCTGAGGATTGCGGAGAACTATTAAGATAATTCTTGACGAATGAATTTTGGCTAACAGGTTCTTGTTGATGAAATCTTTTGTAGTTTCCGAAAGACATCAAATTTTTTGTTTTATATAATGAAACGTCATTGCGTGCTATATTCTGGGAGATTTCTCCTCGTAACAAGTGAGAATCCGGAGAATTTTGAAGTAAATTTGTAGAAAAATCTTGCAAATTTGATTCTTGATGAAGATTCCTAAAACATGTCGCAAATTTTTTTGCATAAATCATTAGATTTATAATAACATTCCTCAAATTTTAAATATATACACGGAGAAAATTTTATATTAAGTTTTAATACAATTTTAAATTACACTTTACTATGTCTTGTATTTTCGAT